TTTAAGAAAGCAAAAACTCCAGATAAGGACCAGCATTGTGTGGGCAGAGCTGCAGATGTTACATGCAGCCAGTGATTTCTGAGAAATGTGTAGATCTAGTTTTAGATGCTCAAAAATTAAAAAGGGGCTTATTTCGTCAGCATCTTGCCTTAGCAATGGGCTGCAGATGAGAATGTGTGATGGCACATGTGCGAGTTAAGGTGGGTTAGAGCAGATACCGTTCCTTTAGGAAAGGTTTTACACCCAAAAGCGAGCACCCAGCTGGAAACCAAGAACTGGCTTTGCCCAATACCCTGCGTTGAAGCACAACCACATTTATGAACAGCTTGTGGTGCCCAGAGGATCCGGATTGTGATGAGGAGCAGGACACAGGGCTCACCACACTTGGGGCTGGCAGCAGAAGAGCAACCCCAGCCCAGTGCTGCCTGCCCATTGGCACACAGCACACAGCCACACCAGCTCCCCTGTGCTTAAATCAGTGTTTTCCAGACTCAGTCATTATCACACACTGCTCCAAAGCGGTGCTTTGCTGGGTGCAGTTTAGCTAATACCGCTCTTGATGATGCATGCTAGTGCAAAACACAATTAGAGACCCTCCCGTGGCCAGCAGGAATAACACAAGCCATCCCCACGGAGCCAGAGCTGCTCTGAACAGCAGCACACAAAGGCAGCCGTACTGCCAGTCTCCTGGTTCTCCTGGTAATCACACTCCCATGCCAGGGAATCCCGCACACACAGCACCAAGAGACACAAAAGCCACCATCCAGGGGTGTCTACTCTGGGGCATCCCACCCATGGATGCTCCACACCTCTGCTGGTGGCTATCACAGGACACTGGCACTCCTCAGCACAGCCACATCCTCCTGGTAGCAGCTCTGATCCAAGCCACATATGGAACAGGAGCCTTTGGACCCCTTGAACACAGGCCTGAATCAGGGGGTTCACCTGGAGCACCCCAGTGCTTTCTGCTGCACTCTAAGTGCCACCAAACAACACAGCAGGACCAGGATTTTTCTGTGAACAGGGTCTAAAATTCCAGCTCTAGGTCCAAGTTCCTGCATTAACCATCCCATTCATCATCATTACCCACAGGCACTTCACCTGCTGCCCCAAAGACAGCGGCAGGGGGAGGGACTGATGCACTTTGTTCCTTCCTCCTTCCAAAGGAGGGGAGGCCAGGCATCAGTAAGATCATTGATCTGGAGCACTTGCCTGTCCTCCTGAACAAGGAGGAAGTTAATTCATCACAGGATGGAGAAAACCCAGTCTTTAAATTCCTTGGTTCCTTAATTAAAGGGAACTTCACAATGTTTGGCTAAACCTTGCTCCAAGGACCCAACTGCAGTGGTTCAAACACCCAGCTCAGTTGTTCAGGGTTCAGAGCAACCTCTGACACAGTGGTGCTGATGACAGATCACTCTGGCATCCTTGTGCAGCCCCTTTGGGAGCTGGACCTAACACCCACCATGGGGTGGAGAACCAGCCCCTGCACCCACATCCCACATCTGCAGATGCTGCTGTGCCGGGGAGCCCAGAGAGCAAGAACAGCCAAGTCCATCACAAACCTGGCTGCAAGGAGAGCTCCTTGGCACTCTCCAAGAGGCGCAAGGGGAAGATTAATCTTAATAATCACTGTTCTCAGCTTGCCCCATGCTCAGGCCTCCCCTGCACAGGTCTCCCACATCCCCATCTCCTCTCATGCAGGGCTGCACTGAGCCCAGCCTGCAGGGGAAACCCTGCATCCTGGCTGCCAGGCTCAGCAGCGCCTTGAGGCTTTTCCCCTCCTGTCCACAAAGTAAATGAAGTGGGGAGAGTAATACAGTGCGCTCTCAGCACGGCTGACAAGCCTGTGCCTCTCCCGGAGTCGCTGCGCTGGTATTAAACAGACAAGACAAGCTCGCAGTCAGTTATCGGCCAAAAATATAATGAAGGAACAGGGCGGCAGAGCAAAGCCGAGTCACCCCGACCAGCCAAGTGGAGAATTGAATTTCTCACCAGCTCCCCAGCAGCAAAGCATCTCCGCGCTGCGGCCTCGCACCGCACCAACAGCTCTGACCCAGCGGCCACAGCAGCTCACTCCATCGCCACAGGGCTGGGAAGGGGATGCCCCAATCTCATTTACTAGAGCAGGGTTTGGTCACCACAGCAAAGTGCTCAGCACAGCACAGGGCGTCAGAGGGGTGACATTTACCCATCGCTGCACAGCAGCAGCCTGGGCGAAGCACAAAGCAGTGTGCAGGAGACAGGGGCTTGGGAAGTGCTTTCGACCCAGCAGCAAAGCAGCCAAGGGTAGAGAGATCCCAGCCCTGGCAGCATGGGTCCAGCCAGAGCAGCCATGCAGCTACTGGGGTGCACCAGGGAGCTGGGGACCCTGTGCCCCCAGTGAGAAGTAGGCATCTTGGCCCTCAAGCCTCAGGCGCTCCTTGAGTTTGCCAAGAGGGGGAGAGTTTACAGGAAACTAAACTGTAAAGAGATCTTGATGCCAGCAGAGCTGCCTGGACCCATTTTGGGCTCCTTCCATTTGAGTCCTTTTCCATCCCTTTGTTTCCAAAAGAACACTTCTGGAACTCTTCCCTGGTGTTAGTGCTCTGCACTCAGTGTCACAGGCAACTCTGGAAGAACAGTCAGTGGTTTGGGACAGCCCCAAACCCAAAACACACACAGAAGCAGAGGGAATAAATCAGCTGCCAGAGAGAGCAAACATGGTGCAGGTTAATGTAAAGGTACCCAGCTCTTTAGCTACTCATCCTGAGCTGTAAAGCAGGAGGAACTGGCTTCAATCTCAGCCCCTGTTCCAGCACGTGCTACGGAACTTATTCTCTGAGGGCTTTTTTCATTCACATTATCACAAATGAGAAAACCTACAAAACCCCTTATCACACAGTGACCCTAGGGTACCACAGCTTGGCCGAATGCATGTATTTCTGGGCTGATGCACAAATTTCAGACCCTTTTTGGGAAGCATTTTGAAGTTCATTTCAGTGAAAGGGGAAGAGGCAGGACACTCCGAGCATGATAGATCCTTTAAAAGATATAGCTGAAGTCCATAACTTCAGCTAGCTAAGATTTGCATAGCCAGCAGCTCATCAGGACCGGGTCCCACTGCATCCACACCAGCAGCCCAAGAGCTGCAGCCAACATAGGGGTCTTCCTCCTTGCAGACCACAGAGCAATCCCCATGCTGACTGCCGGGGGTGCTGACACCAGGACACTGCTCCCCACACCACAGAGGAGCTTTGCTCCTTGCAGCGCTGTGACAGCACCTGAGCAAAGTGACACGGTAACAAATGGGCTGAACCAGCCAGTTTCTGCCTGCGAGAAATCATGCAACGATTTTCGGCTCCGCACAAACCTTTACAGCCAAGTTATAAACTCCTGTAAAGTGCTGACAGACCCTTCGCTCCAGCAGTGCTAGCAGGTGCCCCGTAATGAATGTGCTGAATGACCTACCAAGCAAAGTTATTGAGGCAAAAAGCACCACGGTCATTCAACAAACAATTAGAGAGTGTCCTGGTGGGGACAGCATACTAACAAGGGAAGGAGCCCAGAAAAGCTGAGTAAGCATCCTGCCTGTCCCCCCCAAATTCCTCCTCTTTTCCATCCTGGGCTCTGATCTATAGCATGACTCACCAGAGCTCCAATAAAGCTTTAGAGATTGTTATGCTAAATGAGAAAAAAAAGGAAGTAATTGCCTTTCCCCCATCTAGAACTCCCGATATATAACTTGGAGAAATATAATTAGCTGCTAACTTCAAAGATGCATTGGAGTTTTTTTGCAATGGGCATTGAGACCCTGTATTAAAGAAAGCTAAAAGAAAAATGATACACTCCTCCTTGTAAATGGAATAAGACTTAAAGGTTTTAATTAGGATTCACTATGCATCTACAGCCAGGAAAAGGGGAAAAACAGCCTCATAGTATCTTACTGTTTGAAAAACACATATTGGGGAAGAAGCTTTCTGCAAAAATAATTAAGGAGAGTGACGCATTTTTGTCTTTGAGCAGTAATTATCTATTATTAAAAATAAGCTGCTCTTTTTACTCCATTTAAAATTAAATTACTTCAAACAAAGGAAGATCTGTGCAAGGAGGACCAGAGGCACCCGCTTATTTGGGGTGGGGGAATCAGTCACACAGTGCACACAGGAAAGTTCTGAGGAAAATCTGGAACACATCCTGCACAAAGGGGAAGAGCACCTGCCTGCAGTGGTCCTTGGAGTCCCTGCAGGGTGGGTACTGGGGTTCTCAGAGCCTCTTGCTTAGCAATGGGGCTCCCACAATGTCTTCCCATGGGAATAGCCTTCTTTCCCTAGAGAATTACCTGCGTGTCAAAACCAGGCAGAGGAAGAGCTACAAGAGGCAGAGGAAGAGCTACAAGAGGCAGAGGAAGAGCTACAAGAGGCAGAGGAAGAGCTACAAGAGGCAGAGGAAGAGCTACAAGAGGCAGAGGAAGAGCTACAAGAGGCAGAGGAAGAGCTACAAGAGGCAGAGGAAGAGCTACAAGAGGCAGAGGAAGAGCTACAAGAGGCAGAGGAAGAGCTACAAGACAGTGCTATTTCAGCCAACTGGGACAGGAGGACAGAGACTCATTTTCCTTTGTAAGAAACCAGAATAAGCCTCATGCAGGGCTGCCCACATCCCAGGGCATGGCTCAACTGCTCATCAACAAGAGCAGAGCTGCAGGCTCAGCCCACACTTCCCTTGGTCTAGCACACCAGACATCCCTACTGGTTGGGTTACCTGCACCCTCCTCAAGGCCATAGCTAAGAGAAGACTTGTAATCTTTCGGGGTACACCGCAGCAGAGTAAGGTGAAACCCATGCTAGAGAACTACCAGACAGAAACAAGATTAAGTATTGCTTAGTATTTAAGCCTCCAGTCACCAGAAAGCATCCTATACCTGGTTCAAAGCAGTCCCTCCACATCCAGAAAGTTTCATAACTGGAAAAAGGGCTTCCCAAAACAACAGACAACATTTAAGAAGCTGATTTCCAACTTACCTTTTCCTAGTGCTACAGACACTGAGCAGGAACCCAAAGCAAGGAGCCCAACAACTCCAATCCCACACCCAGCATCCCACCCAAAGGTGAGAGTTACTCATCATTAACTTCAGGTGAGGGTGTCCTGGGGCCTCTTATCTCAGAGGCCCCGCCCCACTGCAGGGGTGGAGGGGAACCTGCTGCCCATAAATGTGGGGCTCAGAGCATCATATATTTTCTTTGTGCAGTTGGGACTGTGCTGGAGGCTGCTCTGCACTGGTATGTAATGCAGGAAGCCTGCAGTGTCTCCTGGGTTTGTGTCTTGTTTCTGGGGGTCGTGATGTCTATCTGATGCTTTGTAGATGGTCTTTTTGTCTTTCTGTTCTCTGTGCTGTGTGGAAAAAGCTCAATTAATCTCCTGTAGAACATCAAAGTTTGTCTAACCTGGATTTTTTGACTGCTCTGTGGATCTGAGTGAAGTTGTTGAAAAACATTCCTATAAAAGGTGGATGTATTCCTATAAAAGGTGGATGTGATTGGGATTTCAGGAGTTGTGTTCGGAGCAATTTTCAGGAGAGCTCAAACACACCTGTGTTTAGGAGGGAAAAGACTCGGGGTTTTGTATGGGAATTATTCACTCTCTGAGCTCCTGTACTACTGTAGTCTTGCTCCTCCTTTCACTGTGCACAGACAAAGCTATAGAGCAAAACTTGTTTTCTTCCTGCTGCCTGGCTTTTAATAAATCCTTTCCCTTTTAGACTCTGTGTAGGCTAATTCTTGATTTACTGCCTAGGCTTTAATAGCTGGAGCACATCAGTCATCTGAGCACTAGCAGGCTTGACTCAAGGAGCAGAGAAGCACTGATGCTTTCCCTGAGCCAGGCATGATGCTTTGAACCACTGACTTGCAGAGATTTTCTGTGTCTACATCAGGAGAAGCAGAAAATGCTTCTGTTGCTTGGCTTCCTCATGACTAAGCTGGGAGTGCTGAAGTGTTACTTATGGTTTCTATTCAGACCTGGAAAGGGGACTCAATTTTAGGGAGCAGCTAAGCTTGTTTGCTGGGGAGGGAGAGGGTGCTTGTGAGAACTCACCTGTGTGTGGCCAATGACAAAGCTGCCAACTCAATAATGAATTGGTATTGGGAAGCCTAAGCCAAAGTGTTCTCAATGTGAGGAGCTTGGAAGAGGTGGGCAGGCTCTCCCTGTGTCCTCCTGCCCTGGGACAGCCCCAGTGTCCACATGGAAGAGGCTGAGCTGTGTCGGGCAGGGTCACAGGAGTTCTGGTGCTAATGGATGGTTTATTCTTGGATGCTGTGGATTATAATTTGTTGTATGTTTGGCCACTTGTTGGACTGGGCCTTGATGAGTTGTTGATAAATTGTGATACAGGATGTTCTCTGTAATGAATTTCTGTGGTGCAAACTGACCATCTGAGCCCCTGCAGGCAGGGGTGAGGCCATGCTGGGAGAAAGGAGGGCTGGGAATATTTGTGGGGAGGAGGAAAGTTGCTGGCTTTTAGCAATCCTTTTCAAAGAGAATTCCAGGTACGCATTTTTGACTGTGGGATAATGAATTCCTGCTTGATGTGTTCATTGTGTAATGCTAACCACGAGCTCATCTCTAATCTGAGCTACGCAGGAGCTCATCACCGCATAGCTTGAGAAATCCTTTATTGTATATGCATGGGCAAGCACATTATAAATACAGGACTTGGCAATAACTCCCAGCCTGCCTGACAGCCTGCAGAGGGGCTGGGTGCTGTGCTGTGTGAAGGCAGCTCCTCACCATGGGGTGGAGTTGTGGGAGCTGGTGGGGGGGAGCTTCTGATGCCTTTACCTATCCTAATGCAGCACAGACCGTTTTCTGCACAAACCTGGTTTTGTTCGGGGTTCTGTTACAGAGCAAAATGAAGAGGAGGGTTTATTTAATAAGAAATCCTCGTATTAGCTTTTAAATGCCATTCTCCTGCTTGCTCATGTGCATCTCAAACTTGGGATTTCTCTGGTCTGGCTCCTTGGCTGCTGTGGTTCTATGGAGTGGTGCTGTCTGGAGCACCTGTACCTCATGCTGCTTTGCTCTTTGTGCTGCTCACCCCTGGGGAGCAATGTGTTGTCACAACTCAGCACTGCCTATGAAAGACCTTCAGACATCCCAAATCCACTCTGGTTCCCACTGTTTCCAGCAGAACTGTTCAGAGCCATTTAGCACTGTGGAATGAGCTGCTGGAAACACAGGGGCTGACTGCTGAGTGCTTGTAGAATCAAGCTTAATTGCAAGCCCAAATGCATTCATTAGGCTTGCTCTCCACCACCACAATGCCTGTGCAAGGTGTCAAGCTTGTGTTAGCTGTTGGAGATGCAGTGGGGTTGTGGAGGTGTGCAGGGCCTGTGTGTGGTGGTGTGACAGGCTCTCAGAAGTGCTCTGTGCATCTGCTTTATCCCCACTAACCAGGGTATGACAACACAAGCAGATGCTGAAGTGCAAGGGGGTGGTTAGGAGGGACAGACTGGCACAAGGGCTCTGCTACCCAGCTCCAGCAGAGCTTCCCATGCCAGCCTCTGCTTTTAACACTTCTATGGTTCTGCTTGGTGTTAAGTGATTTTATTTGTTTCTCTTAATTGCACTTGATTAACACCATGACCTCTTTTCTCATGATTCCTATCTCATTACCTGGGTGGAGATGGGGTGGAGCAAGGCAGGAGTCAATGGCTGCAGTGCTCATGTGTCTGATACTCTTCTAGTGGCTATTAGGCCCCTTTGATCAACATGAAAACAAGAGCAGGAGAAATGCTCAGGTTGTTCCACCTTGTCCACATCACGTCCTATAGCTGACCCTGAAACTGGAATGGTGGATCCATACCAGATGTGGGTGAGGCAAGTAACAGCATGCAAGGGTGGCTGGTGATGCTGCAGGGCAGCAGTGCCTCAGGCTGGTCCTTGGCTGGTAGATGGGCACCAAGCCCCATCAGCCATGGCTTGGGATCCTTTCACAGCACCTCCAGAAATAACTCGTGGACATGGCAGTGTGGCTGAGTGGCTCCCTGAAGGAGACCTTGCACCCGTGCAGTGGGAAACTGGTCCCCAGCAGCACTGGTGAGGAGCTGTGGCCCATTTACGTGCCTGGTGTGGAGGACACAACGCTGAGCACTGGTAACACAATTTATTTCCACTAGTGAGTGAATTGCCCATAATTCATGACAAGCAGAGCCTCGAGTGATGATGAAGGTCAGCCCATCAGATCTGGAAATAAATTGTATCCTATTACAGCCTCCTATTAGGGCTCTATTTATAGCAGGGCTTGCAAACTCCTGGAAGTTTGGAGGGTTTTTTTGGTGGGGTTTTTGCTTTTAGCTTGGCTGGTGAGGGTATAAGGACATGAAAAATTTGGATGCAGAACAAACACTTATGCTGCTGATGTAAACCAGTTCTACTGCAGAGAGATGCTGGGTCTTGGGCTGACAGGGGGGATTTCTGGGGTCTCAGGGCTGGAGGCAGTGCTTGGGCAGCCAAGGGACAGGGGTAAGTGGACAGAAACCTGGCTGTTTTGGTGATGTTTGCTATCTGTTCTAAGGAATACTTTTATGCTTTTACACTGTCAGCACAGTTATTTCTGCAGACAGAAAAGCAGTGCCTTTCTCCTGTATTTACCCCTTCTATTTACCATGCCACTGTAATCCCCAATTGATAGATAATGTGCAGGATGTGGTTTGCCATGGAAACGGAGCCCTAGTTCTTTACATTTTTTAAAAAGATTAATATTTCTTAGCTTGGTTTCATTATTCTGATATTAAAAATCATTAGTTATGTACCATTTTATGGCCTTCCCAGGCCATAATATGCCCTTTTGTGCACAAGCTTTCCCATAGGCGAAATAAAGCAACCCACCTGGGACTGGCAGAGCACAGTGGTGGTACCTTGGCTGCAAAGTCTTTGCTTTCCAGCATCTCTGGCTATCACATCAGATCACTATCTGCCACGTTGGTGTTTCTGATAACACTCTGGACGAATTAAAAATGGAGCTGCTTCTAAAACCCTGTGTATGAGTATGCAAGTTCCCTTGCCTCCCAATTTGAATCCCAGTTCTAGAGGCAGTAAGATCTTCTTTCAAAGCCCATCAGATACGAGGGAACCTCACCACTGGCAAATGGGTGAAGTTACAGATTTTCATGTCCTCTATTTCCTTGAAAAAATATTTGAACTTCCAAAGGATTTGTGACAGAGGGAAACTGCTGTGAATTAAATTGCCTTATTCTATTGAAGAGCATGGTTTTAGGTGAAGTGGGGCTGCTTGCTAGGAAGTGAAGCTGTTGCTTTCAACAAATGACTGCTCTAATCTGGATGCCTATGGAGGGGAAGTGTGCTTAATTGTGCAATAGTCCCAGCTCTGTGCTCAGGGGTAGATGCAGAGCTGGATGTAATTGCTTGCTCAGGTTAAGAGGGGTGATTCACTCATGGTGGAAGCTTAGTTCCTTATAGGTGAAATAAGAAAAACAGCTGTCTTTTAAAAGTCATAAATCTGTACAGTAAAAGGGTTGGGCAAACCCCATATTTTACTGGTTTTGCTGTCAGAAACACAAAGAATTAAGGGCCATGTGACTTGGTAATTGCTGTGGACTTTTTTCTGACAATAAACATTAAACTTAAAACTGTATTAAAATCATTTGACAATTTTTATGCTTTAACAGCTGAGAGTGAATAATGTTTTTTGCATATAAAATACTTTCTCTTGTCAGCCTATAAAACTGTCAGAAATAAATTCATCAAAAAAAGGTTCTATAATTAAAAGTCACTTCTTTTCTATCTCTAGTTTAGTTGGAATTATTTGTTTGTCACTTTTCCAGGGCTAAATTACTGCATTCAGAGACAACTTTCTTCAAGACTATTATGAACTGTATGATTCTTACAAAAGGAGCCCAACTTTCTCTTCTAATGTATCAACTCAATATCGCTTTTCAGCACGTACTTTTAGATGGTACTGTTTCTAAAGAGCTATTTTCCTCTGAAGATGAACAGGAGCGGTAATGGAAAGTATCCAAATGTAGAAATGGTATTTTTATTATTGAGCTGCAGATAATTTATGGAAAACTGCTGAATTAATTTTTTAGCG